CAACACTCAAAAATCGATAGCCTTCTTCTACACAAATAACAGACTCACTGAGAGAAATTAGGGAAACAATCCCTTTCATAATAGCATCCCAAAAAATGAAGTATCTAGGAATCAATCTAATGTAGGATGCAAAAGACCTCTACACTGAAAACTACCTTACTCTAAAAAAAGAGATCATGATGGGTATGTTTTCTTTTAACTGTATAGATTTATAAACCAATAAGAGTCAGAAAGGAAAAGAAATAATAGCTTAAATTGCCAGATTGGATCTTTGTTTATTTTATCTCCTTATAAAACCAAGTTTGAGCCCTTTTTACTCTAACTTACATTTGGAGAAAAATGTACTTTTTAAAAATCCTTTATCTGAAATAGGTCCCAAGTTATAAAATATAACCTAAAGGTGATATTTTATGGATAGATATTATGTTATCCATATTTCAGTAAAATATACTCGATGTCTTTAAGACCCACCCTGTGTACTTTTAGAAAGAGATAAAAGAAAGAAAAGTAAAACAAAAGAAAATAACGGCAGCCTAGTTAGGTCCTCAAGGTCAGGCCATGCAAGCTCTCCACCCCAAACCAGCTCCTACCAGGCGGCAGTGGCAGCCTTAACTAAGTCAGGCCATAGATGCAGCCTGCCCAAACCTAGTCAGGCCACAGGTGCAATCATCCAAGCTGGGGGTTATGCTCTATGTGTAGCACCCCAAACTGAGGTCAAGGTGCATGCACAGCCTACCTAGTACTGAAGTCATGCTTCATATGCAGCTTGCCCTTGTGCACAAATAACAGACTCAGTCCTGCTTTTGTAGAACCAGAACTGCCCAGGGAGACAGTTCCACCCTGTTACTCCAGAGTCAGAACCACTTGCAACTGGCAGCTCTGCCCTTTTTTTCTGTCACCAACTAGTCCAAGTGTCCATGCTAGTAATGCAGAAACCTACTGTTCATGTGTAGAATAACTGTTCTTATTTTTAGCACATAGCTATTCCAATACGTATTAACAGATGGGGAAGCAGGAAAAGGAGTTGCATATCAAAACTAGGTTTTCCTCAAAAATTTACTCCAAAGATCTGAAAGGGAGCTATGATATTTAGGGACCTGTGACACATACAAAGAACTCATAGAGTATTTTTTAAAAATTTGGAGATGTCACTTAGCAACTACATACCACATGTCAATTTAGATAGGGAGATAAACTTGAGGCCAAAAATTATCAGAATATCAGAACCAAATAAGATAGAAGAAGGAAACAAGCTAGCATTAGAGAAGTGACCTGAGAGGCCCCAGGAAGGAATACCTATAACATGGCTCAACAGTTGGTCCTAGGACCCAGAAAGTCATGGCAGACAGGTGAGAAGTGATGTCCTTCCCACAGGCCTAAGGGCTTCTTACCCCTGGGGAAAACACAAAGGGCATGCCCACCTCCCACCTGAATTTTCTGACAAATGAAAGCCTGAGTGGGGAAGCAGAGACAAGAAGGAGATTGGATCTTTGTTAGGGAAGAGGGGAGGGAAAAAAGTAAACCAGCGGGCTCCTTCACAGGCTTCATCAAGTCCCATGGCTAATATCAGTCACCTCCTGAATGACCACTTAAATCTGCATAGCTTAGGATGAGTTCCCAGCTACTCACAGAAGGGACTGAGGTAGAATGAGCTCATGCTCTTCAGTTTTCTAAGAGAAAGACAGATCAAAGAGCAGTTTAGAGGACCTCCCTCAGATGAAGTGTTTAAGACCTGCAAGTGTATATCTTCCAAAGATCGCTTTTTCCGTGTGACCTGGAGACTGGTTCGCTCCATTGTGCCTCCAGGGTTTCCCCTGTTGGTTGCTGGAGAAACTTTGTACAAGATGCTGGATGGGGACCTCATCCTTTTTTTATGATTTCCTGAGCAAGCAAGATTTTCAGAGTCCCACTTAAACCAGAGATAAGGTGCAGTATTTACCTAAGTAATACCTACTGAGTCCACCTACATGTCCTAAAGAGTGCCTCCTCACACCTCTTTTCATTTCTGGTTAGAGGGAGTAAGTACTTCCTGTCTTTGGTATTTTTATGTTCAAACACTCATTTTTCTAGAGACTTACAAGTCTCTAACAGCTAGAAAGGAAAAAAACAAAACAACCCCCCCGCAAAAAAACACAAACAAAGCCAGACTAGAGAAATTTGAGGACAAGGAGAGAGAAAAAGGAGACCAAAAAGAATAAACTATGCTTCAGAGGGCAAGTTGTTGGGATAAATAGGGAAGAAGAAAGATACAATAATGAAAAGGCTTTTGACCGAACTTACCAAGTCTTTCTGTCAATGTCTCTTTTAACTCTTGCCACTGGTGGCCAAGAGAAAATGTCAATGGCCTGGGTCTGAATGTCACCAAGGCTGAAATAAAGATCCAATCCCATATCTTTGCAGGTTCACTGACTCCCATCATGGAAAAAGAACAATATGTCAGTAAGAGGCACGTGCGAGGTTTACTAAAAAGAGATCTTAGGACACACTCAAGAATGAAGTGCAGGTGTTCAGAGAAAAATAAGGCACTTTATGAGCCAAGAGCTGGGTATAGTTACAGTATCTCAGGGGTCTCGAAGATGGGTGACCTACGATGTGTGTTCCTACTGCCTGTCAGTTTTCCTGTCTGGCAAATTATGTCAAAATACAAATCATTCACGTGTGTTGGAAGTTGAAATATGCTGCCCATCAATGTTGCTACCTCTTTGAGGGTGGAGAAACTTCAGTTCATGGGTGAAAAGTTTAGGTCCAGAGTCTCCCACCTCTGAGTCACAGACTTACTGGGTATTTAAGATCCTTAGGAACCTTTTTTTTTTTTTCTTTTTATTGAGTTTATTGGTATATTCCAGGTATACAGTACAGTTGCATTCATTACTGGGATCTTGTACCCTTACATGACAGGTCTTGTTCTCATTTTTTCCCTTGTCCCTGCCCTCCTTCACCCCCTCCTCCCCTCCCCATTTACAAACACTTTATTTCCATTTTTTCATTTTCTCATATTTTTTTCTTTTCCCTTATTCCCTTTCCCCTACCCTTCCCACTTTTCCCAAACCTTTAGCCCTTTTCTTCCTATTTCACATGGTTTATTATCCCATTAGGATCTTGTGTACTATTATAGTTTTTCACACCAGAGAAACTATTTGGTATTTATGAGTATCCTACAATGGAAAAGGGCTTGAGTAACATTTATATCTTGAAGCTGCACTTAAGTACAACTTTAGAAGTCTTGGCTTCTTTTTCTTCTTTTTGTCACGTTTCATTTTATTTTGTCTTCCCTCAATACCAGCATCTGACAGCCCAAGGACAAGGTGAGGGGGCAAGTACTCACTCTACACAGAGTGAGAGGGGAGTTGGGGGACACAGGGTCAGGAAGGCAAGGTGATCCTGGAAGGGGCTAAGTTATATCTGAAGCAAGCACTGAAAGGAAAGGAGAGACAAATTTTGCTAATATTTCAACTTTGCTCTATGCCGTTGTCCTTAATTATCAGCTAACCACATAAGGCAATTCGAGAAACCATTCACTGTCCTTGCCCAATAGCCCTGGCCTGGAGGCAGTGGCTCTTTCTAGGGAAGAGCTGGATATTTAGTGAGGAAATGTTGTCCTCTCCGAGTGTCTGATCCTGAAGGTATGTGGGTGCTGCACTCCCCTTCGCAAAGTCAGAGGGGCACCTGGGGGGAAGTTCAAGGAGGGCTGACAGTGACTGCTTCTACAAAAGCCAGGATTATGAAACACATCCGTCAAGGGAGTCACGGAAAACAGCAAACAAAATAATTTGACCTTTTAAAAATGAGAAAAGAGGGAACAATAGAAACAAAGTATTTTGGTGAATACGGGAAGGGATGGAGGGGTAGAAGGGAGGGAAAGGGGAGGAGGAGAAAAGAGTAACCCAGATATGTCGTGTACTGGTACAAATTCCTAATGACAAATGCAGTCATTACGTAGACCTAAAATGCAGCAATAAATTTAATGGGGTAAAAAAAAAGAAAAGCATGACAGCTCAGATAGTGGTGATTACTACTTAGATAGAAGATAACTCACATCAGATCTTCCAGCTTAGTGGTGTCATTCGCTTTAATCCTAAGTGATGCAGAAGAAAAGGGCTGCGATTCTGGGTTAACAGGCTCAGAGCTGCCGTCATCAGGCAGCCCTGTCTTCATCTGCTGCAAGTGAGCAGTCACTGCGGAAAAATCTTTCCACCCTCTCTTAACTCTCTTCTACACCAGGCATGCAAGATTCTTCTCTGAGTCTGGGCAACAGCAGGAAGTATCACTCTTCATCCAAAGGGGGCTTCTCCACCTCTGCCGTTACCCAGCATGATAGAATATCAAAGTGCCACCTTCTGAGCCACAATGGAAAAGTCCCACGGGACTGTACGTGATTGACCTGGGCTTTTCCAAGGTCCTGCTAATGAGTCATGCCTGTTTCTCTCAGTCCCGATCAGCCTAGACAGACTGAACTCTAGCTGAGGCTGTGAGGAAACTCTGTAGGCAGATACACCCTCACAAGTGGCCACTGAAGATGATCAACTTGAATTTTCCAACACCTCACCCTCCAAATCTGTCTCTTCTATTTTGCTCTATCAGCAGAAAGAACATGCACTGTATGATTCTAGAACCCAGACTAAGATAGAGACAATCACCTCTATCCCTTCCTAGATTCACTCAGTGTCATTTAAAACAGCCCCAGAGGGCCAGGGATTTGGCTCAGTGGTTGCACTGCCTGCCTCACAAGCACAAGGGCCAGAGTTCGATCCCTGGTACCAAAAAAAAAAAAAAAAAAAAAGTGGCAGGGCATGGTGGCCTGTAATCTCAGCACTCAGGAGGCTGAGGCAGGAGGATCGCTGTGAGTTTGAGATCAACCTGAGCTACATAGTGAGTTCCAGGTCACTCTCCCTACATAGTGAGACCCTGTCTCAAAAAAACAAAAAGGGAAAAAAATTAAAACAGCCCCCGAAAGCATCTTTCTCGGGTGACAGTAGAGCTTCCTTGAGAAGTAAAGAGGGTCACAATCCCTTGATAAATTTGACTACCATATCCAGAATTCTTACGGAGCTGGGGAAGTGAAAGAAACCTTTTTCAATGTTGGTGAGCGCTCCATGAAAACCATTCTCTATGTGGTGCCAAGTCACTGGCACCCCCAGGTCTTCCAGTCTCTTCTTGTACAAGAGTGAATGGTCACAGATAAGATCGTATTCACAGCTCACAATGCAAGCTTCTGGGAGCTGAGATACTATGTCATCTCCTGTGATCAGGGGTGAGCATGTCCAATGCATAGACATTTTTGCCTCCAGGTAAGCGTCCTCATTCAGGGGCTCAAGGGGTCTGGACTGATAGCCTCGCTTCTTAAACCTCTCTGGAATGTTTTCTGGGCCCAACCATTTTCTGTACTTCTCCCAGGCTTCCGGAGGCAAATGGGCACCTCTCTCGACTGCACTTTTCCAGGAAGGGCTGATGTTCATGTGACAACACCAAGAGTAGAAAGCCAAATTCCATGTGAGCAGTGGGATGTTGCTGTTCTGCTGGTAGGAAGGGGACTGGAAGTGTATGTTTTGGAGTGCGGCATAGATCAGAATTTGAGCACGAATCCTGGGGAGATCTGGACGGTTCACAAATATTTGACAAATTAACGTTGCTAAGCCCCCTCCCACGCTGTCGCCACAGAGAACAACCCGAGCTGGGTCCACTCCATGTGCATCTAGGGACTTCAGGAAGTGGATGGTTGCCTCCACACAGTCATTTGTCATCACTGGATGCCTGTACCTGGGTGACTTGCGGTATCTGAAAAGGAATCAAGGCACATAGTTTGCGCTTGTCACCCCAGTGAGGCCAAAAATACCTGCATCTAGCATCTGCCAACCCGGTTTTATTCTGTTAACTTTCATTTTGGATGGCATGAACCTTTTTTTTTTTTTTTGGTACCAGGGATTGAACTCAGGTCCTTGCGCTTGCAAGGCAGGTGCTGGAAGCACTGAGCTAAATCCCTGGCAACTTCCCTGTTGGAAATCTGAGCAAATGGAGGTAGGTGTGAGACTTAAATGAAATGATAAACACAAAATCCTCATACTTAACATATAGGCTGGCAAAGTGGCAGCTCCCACTCTTACAGTCTCAGCGCCTTACAGGGGACAAGTCACTTTTCCAAGAGCCCTGTCATCCAGCTGTTGGGCAATAGCTTACCAGTCACCAACACCAGCCTCATCTTCCTGAACCTACCCGATGTTACTTCCCCAACTCACACCTGTCCCTCCCTGCTTCCTGTTTTGTGATTCTTATGAGCAGCTCCAGGCTTTCTTGGGTTTTGATTCTGATTCATCCTACCATGCGCACAGGATTTGTGGGGAGCCTTGTAGACTTGTTTTCTCACCAGAGGCCAGCAGATCACACGCAGGACTCCTCCAGATCAGGTATACCCTCTCTAAACCAAGGGTGTCCGAGAGGGATGTAAACACGGCATTGCTAGACTTCACTGCTAAGAAGACTCTATACAAATCTAGATTTTGTGAGGAACTTCATCATTTTAAATGCTGGTCACAATATTCTCTCTCTCTCTCTCTCTCTCTCTCTCTCTCTCTCTCTCTCTCTCAGAAAGAGAAACAAAACCTGCCAGCCCCTTTCATTCTGATGTTCCCACTCTGTGCTACCAGGATGTGGGGTTAGAAAAGAGTACAACGGTCTGGCAGTTTGGCTGACATATACTCCCAGTGATCTCTTCATTGGTGCAATAAGAAAAATAAGGTGTAGAGGGTCAGAAACTACCTCTAGACTTCATCCTACTATAGAAATCATATTATGTCTACTGTGGAACTCTACTAAGTAGAACTACCTTGGGTGCTGATATATCAGGCACCAGGCAGTAGTCCTGGGAGGAACCAGCTCAAGTCACCCCTGGCCAGTGTTCACCAAGGCCTCATTGAGGTCTAGCTGGGGTGGGTGACTCTTAGAAATAAGCTAGGAGAGAGGTTTGGAGGGATTTTTTGTTTTCAATTTTTTTCTTGTGCCCTTGAGTGGATCTCCACCAAGGGGGATTTCCTTATGGGTACTTGGAGATGAGTATGACAGTGCTTAGCTTGTCTTGGTGATAGTGTGGGTGCCACTGGCATTTAGCAGGGGGAGGTGTTCATGTCTAGAATCTGCGGGGCCTCTCTGATCCAGGACGATCTTTTCCACCTTGAAGTGCTTGTGTGGGGAATCTCTACATCTAATCTGTAAAAAGAAGACCACTTTCCACCTCACTCCCAAAGACCACTCTGCAGATCCCGCCACTCACATAAACCCAAAGTCCACAGGCATAGAAGAATTCCCAGAGTCTTTCCTTCTTCTTCTCTCCTTCCTTCCTGTCCTCGCTTCTCACTACCCAGCCAGTCCTTCTGGTCTTCCTCCAACCCATTCAATATTCCCACTCCATCAACAGAAATCAGAGCTGCTGGATGCCTGGTGTGGCCTCCCCGTGTACTCACTTAACTGCCAGAACCACTGAGCCGCTCTTCTTGCACAAATGTGAGCAGAAGTCATGATGAGTTTCTGGAATAAAAAGGTTCATCACATTCACCAGTAAACCAGCCCTGTGGGTTGACTCTGACTAGGTTTTACAAACTTGCTTCTAGGTATCACTAAACTTCCTCTCTTCTCATTACTTCTGCTCTGGCCCATGTGAATAACTTTCTCCACAATTCCCACAACCTGATCCCTCCTGAAAGTCATGAAAAACATAGAAGAGGATATTTAGCCATTGAGAACAGTGGTTTAGGCTATAAGCTTGGGATTCACAGAGTAGAGGGCAAACCCAACTTTTCTTCCTTTAAAAAGACAAAACAAAACAACAACAACAAAAAAACCTCGATCTACAGTAGTGGCCTGCAAGTTGCGTAACATCTCTGAGACTTGGTTTCTTCGTATATAGAATGAGGATAATGATAATATACCTTACAGGGAGTTGGAGCTTAAAATAATAGACATATGGGCTGTGTCTAAAGTACCTGACAGGTAAATATTAATAAATATTGCCTGTTACTGTTACTTGTCATACAGATAAAACCAAAACTAAATCCTTTATTCTCAAAGGCTGCCTACCATAAAGGGCCCCAGATTCCACACATTTAAAGCACTGCTGAAACCAAACAAAGGTGCCCTCCACACCTACTTCTGATGCACAGGCGAGAAAATAAAGATAAAATCATCTGTATTGTGAATTGTCCTTATCAGTTTTTCTCAGTCTTTGGTGTCCATATTTGTCTGTTCTGGAATTTGACTCAAGTATTACCTGATGTGAAACTGAATGATGCATTTTATTTATTTTTATTTAAAATATCCCTATGTCCAAAAAAATACAGGTGACATTTATGCAACATATACTAAATGCCAGTGCATGGTATTTTAAAATGGCTACTCTTGTGAGCTGTGAGTTTCACCTCTATAAATATATTTTTTCATCTGAGCAAATATTTTAAACTCATTAAATATACACAATTGGGTATTGTGGTATTTGGGGATTCCACACCTGCAGATTCAACCAACTGTGGATCAGAAAAGTCCCTCCTTCAAAAATGTGCCTGCAGTGAACACATATGGGTTAGTTTTTGTGGGGGGTCATTATTCCCTAAGCAATGTAGTGTAACAACCATTTAGAGAGCATTTGCATTATACTGAGTATTAGATGGAAGTTGCAGGTGATTTGAAGTATATGGAAGGTTATACATGGATTATAAGAAAGCAGGTCATTTTATATCAGAAACTTGAGCCTCTGTGTGTTTGGGTGTTGACCAGAATTCCTGGAACACACACATACACACACACACACACACGCACACACACACACAAATTGAGTAATGGAGTAAATATTTAAATTTTTAAAAACTGTTACAGTAAGACACATTGCCATTAACTTCCTCAATATACTCCCAAAATATACTTCAAGTGGCAAGAACAAGGGATAAGTGTGTTTGAAGTGAAGGGGAGAATCTTGGGGGGGGGGGTTCGTGGCAATGTGTCTTTTACTGCAATAAATTCTAAAAACTTTTAACATCCAATATATACCATGCCTCATAGAAGTCCTGCTTCTAGAAAGAGTCACTGCATTTGCATATCTGCTTCCGGAGCAATTCGGGGCCCACTGACTGCCCGGCATTCCCAGAAGTCCTAGTGAACTTTAAGCCCAGAAAGATCATCATTTCTTTCCAGCTTCTCCAGCAAGGTCCCACCCATGGTCCTTCAAAAATTCAAGGCAAGTCTCTTACTTAAGCTCCCCAGGATAGTCCCACCACCGTGATAGAAGACAATGCCAGGCTGGGGAGTGCTCGAGGGTCCCTCTGGCCTGTACAGCTTCACAGGGATTGTCCCACAGTAGAGGTCTGTGACCACAACACCTGGATGCTTCTTTAGTGGAGGCAGATCATGCACAAAACTGACAAATTCTGTCGCATGACAGAGTCCCAATTTCTCAAAAATCTTCCCCTGTCAGAAAGAGAAGAGGAAATGGGTCAAGAAGGGACTGTACAAGGGATACTTCACCTCCTGCCTGCATTCTGGCAGCTATACCACAAGGATCTGGGGAACCAGCAGTCAGCTTGGGCCATGGCACAGCTCGGCCGGCTCAGAGCTCCCATCACACCTGCAGTAAGATCCACGCTCATGTGGCCCCTGTACCGGCCAGCCCCTCCTGACCAGCTCTCCCCAGACACTTTGCACCAGCCACTGCAAACCAGGCTGATGGTCACCTTTGCTGGTCCCTTGACCTGTAATGGTGTTGTCACCACAGGGCTCTTGCTTTGCCTCAGCCTGGACATGCCATATCTTTCTAGGTGAACTTCCTGTATTTGTGGCTAACTGCTGTGGAGATTTTTTGTTTTAAGGGGAAGGGAGCATTCTTATATTTGGGTCACTCCTACTGGAATAGTTTTGGATAAAATAATATGATATTGATGACTTTCTTAAGAGAACAGGAGCTAGGTATGGTGCCACACGCCTATAATGCCAGCATTCTGGGAGACTGAGGTATGAGAATCAAATTTGATCCCAGCCAGGGCAATTTAGTGACTCAGCAAGACTGTGTCTCAAAATGAAAAATAAAAGGGCTGAGGGTGTAGCTCGGAGTGAAGGCTTTGAGCTCAATACCCAGTACTGCTGCTTTATTTTTCAGTCTTCTTAGGTATATGTCTAGAAGGTTTCAAAATAAAAAATAGACAAACAAATAGAGCAGGAAGTAAGCATTTCCAGTGTTTCTTATCCATTTTTTTGTGTGCCAGAACGCTTTTGGCCATATCTGTGATTCGTTTTTTTTGTTTTGTTTTGTTTTTAATCTCATTGAGTTTATTGGTACTTTTTTAAGTATACAATGCAGTTACATTCATCACTGGGATCTTGGACCTTTACATGACAGATCTTGGTTCTCATTTTTTCCCCTTACCCCTGCCCTCCCTTCACCCCCTCTGTCCTCCCCTATTTACAAATACTTTGTTTCCATTTTTTCTTTTTCTCATATTTTTTCTTGTCCCTTATTTCCTTTCCCCTACCCTTCCCACTTCCCCTACACCGTTAGCCCTTGTCTTCCTATTTCTCTTTATGACCACTTCAATCCTGTTCTGACTGTAGCTGGCTGTCCTCCTTCCTGTGAGAGGGAATGCTACAGTTCTGACAGAGGCTAATTGTGAACAGGGGGTCATTTGTATCCAAATTCACAGGCCTCTTGCATTCTGTCCCCTGAGGGGTTGAGGACTCCAAGTGAATAAGCCCTGCTCTTCCTCTTGCACGGGTGTACTTTGTGCTACAGTTGGCCTCTGTGTGAAGCTGATTTCTGGCTTGTTTCTTTGTTCACGGCCAGTCCCCCACTCCCACTGCCATGAGACTCCAAGTTCTTTGAAGACAGAGACTTCCTATGACTTTGTCTCTCTCCCACCATTGAAACTGGGTCAGAACCATGATGTGTAATAGCTGTATAGCTCATCTTTGCAAAAAAATCAACAGTGACATTTTTTTATGAAGGGCTCACTCCCTGCCAGATGTTGTCAAGTACCACTTCAGATGGATAGCTTGACTCAGGGAATATCTGCAAAATGCCACGGAGTAGGAGATACTATTTCCTCTTATTTTGTAGATGAGAAAACTAAGTCATTGTAATTAGGAAGCTGCATGATGAGCATGAAAGTCAAGGCCAAGCCAGAAAAACCACAGGATCCTGTCACAGTGTCTTGAAATAGCAGACTGAGGAGGTGAGAAACACTGTCCACAGTTCTTTCCTGTCCAGGATCTTTCTTTTATCATGTAAGAAACTTAGCACAAATATGTTCAGTATTCATTTTTGTCAACCCTCTGGAAAAATACTGTAAATCCATATTGGCAACATCCATACCATTGTCACCATGACTTATTTGCAAGTATTTTAATGAATTACACATAATGGCAACAGGAAATAAGATGGGATTATATTAGGTGAACAGTTGCTCAACTCTGAAAAGCAACGTATTGAGCCTAGGACCTAGGACTTTTGCACTAAGCTATGTCTTCAAACCTCTTTATATTTTATTTTGAGTCGGGCTCTCTCTATGTCACCCATGACGAGCTTGAATGTGTGATCCCCTATCTCTTCAAAATTGCTGAATAAGAGGCAGGGGTCACTACCCTCAGCTCATAAATTTTTCTTAAAAGTCATATTTTACAGTTTGTATTCATCTTTGTGCTAATGTTCTAATTTGCTGCCTACCTGTTTTGTTGTTTCTTGACTCTAGCTAGCAGGTTATATAATATATACAGAATACTGTAATTTGGACATTAAATGTCTCCCAAAGCCATAAAGGCTTAGTCCTCAGGTAGAATTTGGAGGCAGTGAATGCTTTGGGATGTGGGACCTAGTGGAAGTCCTTAGGTGACTGGGGGCAAGCCCTTGAAGGGAGTTAAGGGACCTTAGCTACTCCCTCTTCTGCTTTTGTTCTTTGGCCTTGAGATGAGCAGCTATGCTCGGCCTCACACTCCCACCACATGGGATGCCTCACCACACGCAAGTAAGGCCAACAGAATATGAACTGAATATCACTGAAACTGTGAACAAAAATAACCTTTTCCCTCTATAAGTTGATTGTCTCTGATATTTTCTTATAGTGACGAGAAGCTAGCACACTGAGAAAGCAAATCATTCTTTGAGTTTTCTGGCTGCTAGCCAAGTCCAGCCTCAGAAAAATGGGACACAGCCAAAAACCACCCAGTAGAGATTCTGCAGGGTTGAGAATATGCTATCAGCCTCAACCATAGGCTGTGTGATGCCAGTGTCAATTTACCTAGAAACTTCTGGTATGTGATTGCCCCCAATCTCTCCTTAACCCCAGGTAGAGGAGGCAGATAAAACACAGACTCACCCACGTTAGCAGCAGCTGAAAAATGTAGCTAAAGATCCTCAGTTTCAAGGGTTGGTCAATCCCTGAAGGGATATCCACAGTTGCAAACTGGCTGCACATAACCCACAGCCCAACTCCCAGCAGGAATGCACTGGCTCCTGTGAGGAGGGTCAGAGCCACCGTCATCATGCTGTCTCTTCCCCAGAGGATGCCGAGCGGGAGCCACGCTCAGTGCTGGCCATTTAGAGCACTGTCTGAGGCCAGCAGACCTTCTCCTTATGTACGACGACCTTCTCTCTCCACCTCCAAGGAGTCTGCCCAGATCTGTGAATCACAGATCAGGTGAGGGCGTGGTTTTGTATCAGGTCCTGCACCGAGGACAAAGATACTAGCACAGCTTGGTCTGGTTGGAAATGAAAGCTCCAGAAGTCCGGCTTAAATCCTGGCCCTGCTCCTAGACTTTATCTTTAGTCACCACGGACATCACATACCTGGCTCTCCTCACCTGCCCTCAACCTAGTTATCCAGGCCCAACGTTCGCTATGACCGCATTGTGTGTTCTTCAGCTACCAAGGGCCATCTCAGGACCTTTGAACTTGTTCTTAGTTAACTTTTCCCCTAGGCCCCAGCTGGGCTCCTTTCTTCCCCTCTTGTAGTTCTCAGTTCAAATGTCACCTTCTCAGTTAGGACAGCCCTTTACCCACTGCTTACTTCATCTCTGGAGCCATTATCCTTGCCCAAGATACTACATATATTACTTGTCTCTTTATTGCCTATAGAATATGGCCTCAGGGAGGATAAGACATTTTGTAATTTTGTTTTGTGCAGTTTTGTCTCCAGAGACTGGATCTGGGTTCTGTTTTTCACATGTGCTAAGCAAGTGTCCACTGAATGACAGGTAAATAAATAGGCTCTCTGTCCCTCTCTTTCTCTCTGAGTGTGTGTGCATGCGTGTGTGTTTGTGTGTGTGTGTGTGTGTGAAGCAGGAAATGAGATTGCTTGCTTTTCAGGCAGGTCAGAGGTCAGTCTCCAGTCACAGAACCCTAATAAGGAATAGCCCCAGTGGTAAAAGATGCAGAGTCCCTTGCTTCCTCCCTCTGGTCACAGAGAAGTGGTTCTCAAATGGGGAGATTTTACCTCCCAGGAGACATCTACCAATGTCTGGAAGCATTTTCTGTGAGAGGCAGGGGCGGTACTGATATATCACAGGCAGATGCCAAAGATGTTACTAAACTCCCTGCAACGCATTCTTCAGGTCCCAAAACAAAAGAACCATCCCTTCCAAAATGTCAAAAGAGGGCCGGGGACTTAGTTCAGCGGTGGCCTGCCTTGCAAGCGCAAGGACCCGAGTTTGATCCCCGGTACCAAAAAAAAAAAAAAAAATGTCAAGACAACCAAAGTTGACAAACCATGAGTTAGGATCCCTTGGATTTGAAACTGGGCTCTGCCAAACACCAGTATTCTCACCATGAGAAAGTTGCTGACACTCCCTAAGCTTTAAATATGTTCAGGTTCATCTGCTCACCGCTGATCAAGTCGAAGGAAGCCATATATTAGAATAAAAACAGAGAAAGGATTTATTCCAAGACAGATCTGAGGAGATGCAAGGGCCCATTTGCCTCAAATTACCAACTCCTGATGTACAGGTGGGCAAGGGTCTTTTACAGTAAGGAACAGAGGGAAGAGGAGGTACAGAAGGAGGATGCAGATGTTCACACTTGCAGGACTTGAGGTGCCATCTCAGCTGGCTGGTTCTTTCATGTTGAATGGGTAAATAGACTCCATCTGAGATAGCTGGAGAAAAAGAAAAGAAAAAGAAATCAAATACAAAAGAAAGCCAAAGTCAGGAGACATCTAACCATTATACCTGATGAGAGAACTTTTTGCTTTTAAGCAGTCATGTGTAAGAATCCTCTTTTATAACCTTTGCAGTTCTTGGTAGCATTGACACCTGGCTGCTTTGCTGCTTGCAACTTTTCTGCCTTGTTTTTGAAGGCATTTTCTTCTTTTCAGAAGACTTTGACAATTAATTTTCCCCAGCCTGGTACTATGGTGCTGAGGTATCTTTCCCTTGTGATGGTCCAGACATGTCCCATGTTGGAGATGATGTGAAAAGCAGTTGGAATCAATGCCATATATTAGCCCTCCCTGTCAAATTTGAGCAATAATGAAGGTTTAGAAATAATGGCTCTTAGGCTGAGTTTATCTTCCTGTCAAGTCTGATCTTGTCTATTTTGTAGTCAGCACTCTAAAATATTGAAACTGCGACAAGTACTTACAAAGCTTGCAAGCAGACACAAAGAAGCTAATAAAAGCAAAGCAAATCCAGTCTGTAGAGTAGAATTAAACTAAGAAATATTGTGACCAAGTTAATTAAAGAAGCTCAATATTTCTGTGAAGCAAGCTTAGTTCTGCCAGAAAAGTGTGTCAAGCATACTATATTGTCTTCTTGGAAGACAGAATCCTGTCTTCTTGGAAGGCACTATGAATTACCGTTTGGGAGAAAGCACACAATTTACTAATGCCAAGACTAGGAATTACAGCTTAGTAACACCTTTAGGATTTTGTAGTTACACATACAGAACTGTAAATGATATCAAATACAATGGGAAAAATTAATGTCTGTTTTACCAACTAAACGCATACATGTTTTGAGCAAGATTGTTTCTCACTGGCCAAGAGTAACAGCTTTTGACAGTTATATGACTGTAAGCAAAACACAAGGTAACAATTTGGCAAAACAATTTAGCTACTTTTACAGCATATTAAGACAGCAATCATGATTGACAATATTATACCAGGACAGTTACATTTTTAAAATGAGAAGAATCACATAATAGCTGTTTATGTAATCAGAATTCTAAAGCAAAGGCTTAAACAGATATTTAAGCAAATGAACATCCTCAGACTTATTTTTTAAAACATTTAATCCTAAGAAGACAGTAGCGAACACAAGAAATTATTTTGACAAATTCAAAACCTTTCTTACAGTTCTGTTGCAAGTTTTATTAAGAACAGATTAAGATCCTAAGCCTTATTGTTTTAAATGGATTACAAACTTTAAAAAAAATTAGCTCAAATTAGAAATGTTTATTCAAAAGTAATACTGTTAACATAACCAATTGACCACAAAATATAAGTTTTATATTTTTATAAAATGATGCCACCTCAGGTACTCATCGTCAGTCATTTTAAAATTTATGTTATTAACTCATATTTGAGTCTCAAACTGTAATATATTAAGGTAAGAACTGTAGTTTTAAAATAGAACATATATATATAAAACCCACGAGGTGCAAAACGCCCCAAATCTTTGTTTCTGTACCTCACAAGGCTAAAAACAAAGTGACTTAAAAAGTAAAAACAAAATGATTTAAAAGTTAAAAAACTAAAAAACTGGGCATGGTGGTGCATGCCTGTAATCCTAGCACTCGGGAGGCTGAGGCAGGAGGATCTCTGTGAGTTCGAGACCAGCCTGGGTTACATAGTGAGTTTCAGGTCAGTCTCAACTACATAGTGAGACCCTGTCTCAAACAAAACAAAACAAAAAAAAAAGTTAAAAAACTCTTTTAAGCATTTAATTTAAGCAATGACTAGACAGTAAAATAACAGCAGGTTACCTATTACACAGAAGTGAGCAAACGTTTTAGCAGCCCTTTAAAAGCTATTAGAATTAGGTAACATAAGCAAACTTATTAGCAGATCACATAAGTCATAGCCATTAACTGTGCAACAAAAGATTTCCTTTTCCTAAAACCAGCTGTTACCAGTGTCAGGTCAGACCGAGGCACGATTGAGACCACTGAGTCAGGCCAAGTCTGAGCAACATGCAATGAGATTATTGCCATCTGGGTGCAGGCGGGCCAAGGGTGAGAACGCCCTTGGCACTGCAAGGAGGTGTGAGTGGTTGATATGGGGCATTTTAGGTAGGGGAGGGGTACTGATGACAAGGGTGGAAGATTTTAGAGTCTCATGGGTGATGGGCCTGGGGCTGGCTTGTAACCAGGGCGGTGGTGAGAGCAGCAGTGGGTCTGCTTGGGTGGGGGCCTGACTTGGGAGACCTGTCAACTACAATATTAAAGAAGTTGTATTTATACAAATTATTACCTTAAGAATATCTTAAAATGATGAACAGTAGCAACCATCAACTGCATTGACTTATTTTTTAATGCTCGTTTTTAACCAGTTCACCTATAGTTTGACAAAACTCTCCATTTTCAGATATTTAATATCTTTCTAAAATAGTTACTTTGAAATTTATTAAAAGGATCTATGTCTTCAGATCTTATATTGGTGTTATGCAGAGACATATACCAAAAATCTATTTAGTAGACTCAAATACATTATATAAATTTTAAAGAAGCAAAGACTACATGAACTTATACTTAGCAAATGTCCTTTGAATTTTACTGAATTATGAATAACTTAGAAGTTTTACTTATATATTTATTTCATTTTTAACAATTATCTCTACATTGCCCACAAAATATAAAACATCTGAAAAACACAGGTTAATGTCACCAATTTTTTCTTTTGTTGAGGAAAACAGGAGTTTTATAGGGTGAAACCCATGTGGGTACAGAGTGGGTCACAGCCATGAACATCCCATAAGGTTCCAAGTATAGTCACTGAGGTAACGATGGTCCAATTGGGAAACAAGTGATGTAACAAGAGTGGCTGGAAAGAACAAAAATTCTCCCAGGAAGTGGTGGGTCCAGAGGTCTCTGGTCACCCACTGGGGTGGTTGATGTCTGTCTGGACTTCATTAGCTCCAGTTTTTGTTCTCTGAAGAAGTATGCAGGTCTGGTCTTCTTGTCTTTATCCTGAGGTCTGATTTTTCAGCCGATGTGTATCCAGTCACTGCTGTGCTGTGTTAAACCTTTCTCCTAACCCTCTCAAGGACGTGTTCCTATCTGTCTGCCCATAATAATTCTACCTAACTCCTCTGTCTATAATATTTGAAGGTTTTTCTGAGGCTTTTGAACTTGAATATTTACATTGATTCCAATGAATTGCTTTTAACTAAATTTTCACGTCTCCAAAAGCAAACTATCCTGGATAATAAGGGTAACCATAAGTGAATCCACTTGGAAGACTACAAAAGGAATTTTACTAATCATAAGCATTTATAAAGCAAAGTTCAGAAAATCTAGAAAGACCCAAAACCTACAGAGAGAAATACTTATCCT